CCCCCCCTCAAAACCTCCATTTCCCCTAACTAGATAAATTATGAAAAGCTTCCTTATGAGTGTGCTTTATCAGAATGGTTAAGAAACTTTTGTCTGTGTCAATATCGTGTAGTGTGGGGCGAGGTTTCCCTTTCTTTGAGCACTAAAATGGTTGATTGTCTGTAGAGAAGCATTTTCTTTCTCCGATTTGTGTTCATATTGAAGAGCGCCTGTACGTTCTTTCATCTAGCCGCCGCTACCTTCTTACGCTTGAAAATTGCCATGGGTGCAGTTTGAAAGAAGTTTTGATTCTAACATCACGTGATATCAGTGCCGTATTTAATTGGATGTTTGACGATCCAATTGACACAAATCACGAATATTATGAGTTAGCAAACTGAATATAGTACCGCCGAAACAACACTACAAGATTAAGTAAATGTACTCGCTGCATCTAGAACTCAAATTTAGGCTCCAGTTCCGCCATCTTTTTGCCAACAGTCTTGTTTTTGACCGCTTAACTTATTCAATAAATGACACTTACTAGCTGCAAACTCCCTCACGCTTCCAGGTCTTTGCTGAAGAATACTTCTAAAATGCAAAAACACAAAAAAAGCGTTAAAAAGAATGTACTAATATTTGTATAACAAAAGTCTACTCCACGAATGTTTAAAACGTTTGTCATGAGTATAATGATGATTCTTCTTAAATACGGTTTTTGTGAACAACTCAAAATTTATAAATTTAATGAATCCTGGGTTGACGTGACAGTCATTAACATAATGGAAGTATTATTAACCTTCATAAGCTTTAAACATTCAAATGACGAAAAATATTTCACCATTCAACTTTTCACTTTATGTAGAATCAATACTGAAAGTATTGTATCAGTACATGCTGCTTTTGAAGTCGTCCACAATTAACTATTACACTCTTTTTTCCCATTAACCCAAACTGTTTAATTATCTATCTAATTACACTTATTTACTTCGTATTTACAATTCTTTATTAGTCAGTGCCGCATGCAAATAAAAATGAATTGAATACACCTAAATCCAAAATGCATCCAGGGCCAAATTTACAAATTTACAGTTTTTTCTTATAATTTGATGTTGCAACATTGTCGCGTTCCTGAGTGTAAGAAGAAAAGAAAGACTGGCCTATTTCTGCCCTCGCAAGCCTTTTAAAAACGATCTTAACGATGGGGCAGATCTAGTGTCAATGCTATTATTGTTCCATCCTTTAGTTGCTCTGTAAAAGAAGCCGCGCTAATCAGTCGCTGTCCTAGCTATTACGGAGATTGTAAGCGTGAGCATCGGACCGCTTCCCTATCTTACAGCTAATATAAACTGACACTAAATTATTCACACATTTGTACATCATTATGACTTCCCGCAACCGAAGTTGCTCCTCTATAGTTAGCCAGCCAAGAGCTTTCAAGGCCGGGAAGATGTGGTCGTATTTTGTAGTGTCAGTTAATATTCGGGCGGCAAAGTTCTGCACAAGTTGTAGTTTATGAATGTTCTGAACAAAGAATTTATCATTATATGCAAAACCTCTTTGGAAAACAGATGGCGAACCCTACTTATTTGACACAAACCAGATAGCAAAGATTACGATAATGAAAGAACGTCCAAGAAAGGGTACGGTAATGCCGGGAAGCTTAGATGTAAGTTGACGTGTAAAGAGCACTAATTTAGTTTTATCAGGGTTTATAAGCAGGTGATTTGCGCAGCACCATCTAGCAATACTTTCAATATCCTCTGTGATTTGTTGTAAACATGAGTGGAGATCCTTAGACGCACACAATAGGTAGATCTTGGTGTCGTCCACATAAGACTCGATGTTACTGAACTTGATTACCGTAGGGAGGTCATTCATGTAGAGTGTAAATAACATTGGGCCTAATATGGATTCCTGAGGTACCCCATGCGTTATTGTGAAGGGATCCGACAGTGATGTTCCAATACGAGTACACTGCTGTCTGTCTGACAGGTGACTCTTGGACCAGAGGAGTGCCGACTCTGAGGTGCCAAGCATCTGAAGTTGTCGAGTAAGGTGGAATGGAAAAAACTGTCAAATGCCTTATCATTCTTTTCCATGAAATATCAAACTACACGTAGAAGGAACGATTTAATTTTTGATCAATATGACACCTGTTGTTAGTGACATTGTTGTTAGATGACCAGAAATTCACCCTGAGTCTGTTATCCGGAACCTCCAATCCTGGTTTAAACAAATCTTTTCAATTTCTAGTCATATTAGAAAAACTTACAGCCCTGCACTTTACCATCTGCCAAGAGACTTCGAAAGACATAACGCCATGAAAGACACAACTACTGAGAGGGAGAGCGGGGCTGAATTCAAAACCCGGGACAGGTTTTCCATCAAAATTCAAACCCTACATCAAACAATAGAAATAGGGCGTGGTTGTATTTTTAGACCAGTTAAAATGCTCGTGCTCGGATTTGCATTGAAATTCAAGGCCGAGGCATTTCAATGCAAACCCTTGCCCTAGCGTTTGAATCTTTATTTAAAAACCTATCCCGGGTTTATAATTCAGCCCCGTTCTCCCCTGTTGATATCAATTCCGCCCCCGGCTTTAAGAATCTGGGTTTTCCGAAGAATTTAAGAACCTACATCAAACAATGGATTTAGGGTGTGGTTGATTTTTAATTACAATAGTTTTGCTCTGTTAGGCATTACGTCTTTTACCTATAGCCTTAGTTATTCAAATATCGTCCTTGCGGATTTTTTTAACTGTTCTTTTTTTTATGAAAGTAAAACTTAATAGACAGTGGCTAACAAACCTGTGGTCCTCGTTCCATGATCGAATTGGAATTTAGGAGTTGATTTTTGCGGAGGGAGGAAAACCGGAGAACTCATCATTACTTCTTTAATATTATAATTATTGGAATTTTGACACTATCCGCAAAAATCTATCCGCAAAAATTTATCCGCAATCCGCAGTCCACGCCCTGCTTTTTAACGACAGTCTGCTACACCATCGGCAAAAGAGGAAAAGTAATGGTGACAATAGACAATAGACACCCTTAGACGCCCGTCTCCATCATAATTAACAGAGGTGCTTATCCATAGAGAACTCTCTTGTAAGGTAGTTCCAATGAATGACTCTAGCTGTAAATCTATCATAGAATGCCTTTATCGCTCGGACGACTTTTTCTGGAACTCCATAAAACTGCCCTAACAATACTATCAAATGCTTTCTCGATGAAATTGACATATAATGAAGACAGCCACTCCACTGCCCTAACAATACTATCAAATGCTTT